CTTCAATTTCTATATGGGCGCTGAGTTGAAAAACGGGCGTCAGGTGGGGACGGGCGTCAGGTGATCAACTACGGTACCGGAGGATCCCCCATATCAGGAAGTTCGTATCGGAAGTCCGTATCGGGAAGTCAAGTCCGCATCAGGAAATCCTTGGCTCAGGAAGTAACATTGAAGACCTCAATCTCAGCTATCTAGGAGGACTATTTATGCCTTCTCATGTGTTGAATTGAGCGAGATATCGATGACGATCGATATTGTATGATTTCGGGGCCTCTCGGAGGCTTCGTTTGAGCGAGGCGCTGATCACCTTGGCCGCTACACTTGAGGCACCCCAAAGGCGGTGAACAGCGTGATGCAGTATTTCCAGCAGAAACCCCTTTCCCAGCAGGAAAGCGGTGTGGCTCGAAGAAGGAATGCCGTCTCTACAATACGGAGCTGGATTTCTTTTCTCTCCCAAACATACACCTACTTTCCAAAGTGTCTGCAACTCCCAGAATATGATCAACCTCGGTACCTTAACTTTGCTCATATCTGTGATGCAAGCCGCTCTTATCAAAGGCAATGCGCAATTTTACCGTACCCAGCTGAAGGACATTGTTCCTAAGCGGGAGGTTCTCTACGTTGGCGGGGAATACACCAAAGTCAAGGCAAGTCTCGATTCTCATATATTCCATGCATATCTAAGACTGGAACATAGGACGATGCAACCAATTATTCATCAATAGCTATGGTAGGGCAAATTTACGTTGAGAAGCTTGCGCCTGAGCCAGCGCCGGCGAACCCACCACTTCCCATTATCTTCATCGCAGGCGCGGGTCAGACCGGCACCAATTTCCTGGATACTCCAGATGGACGGCCGGGATGGGCCTCCTATTTCATCTCCAAAGGCCACACTGTGTATCTCTCAGACCAGCCCGCGCGCGGCCGTTCCTTCTGGTCTCCAGGGCAGGGGAGTATTGGGTCTATTGGCTCCCCCGATTCTGTCACGGATATCTTCACCGACGTAGCCAACAACGGCGACCAATGGCCACAGGCGAAGCTTCACACGCAATGGCCTGGCAGCGGTCGCATGGGCGATCCGACCTTTGACGCTTTCTACCGGAGTCAGGTGCAGTTCCAAACCGACCGGTTTATAAGCGAAGAGCAAAATGCGCAGGCATATTCAGCTCTAGTGGACCTTGTCGGCGACTGTTATATCATCAGTCACTCGCAGGCGGGTGCATACGGTATCTTCGGTCAAACAAGATGAACTTGTGAAGTTAGTTAATGGTTGAATTAGGCTGGAGGGTCGGAGACATGCGTCCAGACCGAGTGAAGGGCATCGTGCAGCTGGAGCCGTCTGGTCCCCCGTTTACGCTCCGTCCCCCGTTTGGAAATAGCCCGGCTTTTGCGTTCGGTCTCACTGACCTTCCAATCGGATACAAACCATCCGCGGGCAAGAATGCCGAAAACATCGAGACGATCACCGAGGCTGCCGTCGACGATGATCACAACGAGTGCATCATGCAGAAGTCCCCGGCCAAGCAGTTGACGAACCTGGCCAGAATCCCAGAACTGGTCGTTACTGGCGAAGCGTCGTTCCATGCACCATACGATTACTGTACCGTCGAATATCTGAAGCAAGTCGGCGTAGACGTCGAATACGTAGATCTCGGTAAGGAGGGCATTCATGGCAACGGTCACATGTTTTTCATGGAGAAGAACAACCTTAAGATCGCAGCCCGGGTGTACCAGTGGCTGAGGAAGCATTAATCAACTCATAATGGAGGATCTATGCGAGCGGATCAACTTGCACAGGCCGTCGAAAAAACAGCAGTAGCGCGATCTTTGGCAGGTAGAGGGTTATAAATAGGATTTGGCGCGTTTGTATGGGCGATCATCTAGGCATTTCAGTGGTAAGGACCAGGATATATAGGGTATCATACAGATCATACGCACGCATAGAAGATTTCGAAAACAGATTACTCCCTAGAAACACACTTGCCTCCATACATACTTTTCGATGCAACGATATTCAGAACCATGAAACAAAGGCTACGCTTTTCGAGAGGTACTTACAAAAACACCCTCTCAAGCGGCCTTTTGGGCTTTTGGCCTACCGGCCCTGGCAATGGACGACATGATGCCGCTGCACATGTCCGACGATATCGCATGAGCTTTCCATCCGGCAAGCGGACGGAACTCGCAGCAAAACAATTCAGTTATGGACTAATAGCTTCCAATTATACCGTAGCAATAATTTGATTCTCCTTTTCCTCCGACTCTTCATTAGAATATTTTTGCTCGTTCGGGAAACAATTTATGTCTTCTTTGAAATCGTCTTTTGTCAGATATTCGCATAGCTGATTAATTTGCGGAGAAGCTTTCTTTGCTGTTTTAAATAATTTCTCCCATTCAACATTGTAACGGTGCAAATATATTGAGTCTGGCGATATGCACCTGTTGAGAGCCATAAAGATAGGTAAAAGTGCTGTTGTTATCCGATTTTGTCGACAATCCTTGGCCGCGTCGACATTGTTTCTCTGATATTCAAAGTAACGGATATGCCAGCCTTCTAATCGATAGAAGCCCTTTAATTCAATTTTCAGTTTTGGAAGACGCAATTGAGGGTCAAGGCATAGTTCGATCAAGAGGCGGAGAAGGTTTATCATGCATTCGGCGCCTTCAAAATACGCTTTCTGCGTAGGCTCTGTGTAGCGCGTGTCAGTAACCAAATAGCATTCTTGCAGGTCTGCCGTTTGTCCACAAGCTTCTATGATAGACTCAAGCAGACACCTTCGTTTTGTGATACAATCACTATGATGATTTGCCGAATAACTCGGGTGATTTGCGTAAATCAAGCGTGTATTTTGTTGTGTTTTCCCTGTCTAGAGGGAGGAAGGGGCAGGAAGTGGAGTAGTCAACCAGGTCGCGCCGGTCGCCGGGTGTTGCCGGGCGTCGCCAGGCGACGCAGGTGCCATCTAAGGCGCACCCAGGGAGATCGCGCGACGGCGCCAGCGATCGCCAGGGTCGCCGGTTTAGAGGCACCCACCCGCCTATTGACTACACACAAGCCCCTCACGCCGGCCGGTTAGTAGTTGGGTGGGTGACCACCAGCGAATCCCGGCTGTTGTATGTTTTTGCCTTTTTTCTTTTTGACTTCTGTCTGTTGTTGAGTTTAGCGCTCCCGCTGCTTTATCTTCACTCCGTTCACCCAAATCCCCTGAAGCCCACTATTCTGCACCTGAATGTTCTTGCGCGGTAACTGCTGATGTGGCCTCCCTTCCCCGCCCCTGCTGACTTATTCTGCCCAGATATGTTGTCGCTGTAACGAACGGCTACGCAGGCGATAAGAAATCGCGAGAATGTAGGGTATGCATTCAACGAAGAAACTAAGCTAGTCCCGATCGGGTAGTTAGGTCATAGGGTATCGCGAAGGAAGGTCTTCGGGGGCTGGTCACAGTCTGTAACATGCAGCTTCATTATAAGACTAGATTAGGCAAAGATCGGCATAGGCAGATGAGATCATGTGATATTTAACGATAATAGTATCGGCAACGATATTTGACGATATAGTATCGGTACCTGAGGACTTTGACGATACTATTTGACGATCAAGATAGTCAAGCTTTGAATTTGACGATACTATTGACGATATTCGGAAATCATGACTATATAGTATCGTGAACAGCCCTACTCAGCCAGTGCCAGACCTTGTTAGGGATGCTATCCGGCCCTGTTGCTTTGTCGGGAGGTGCCCGCCTGATACAACGGAGTACCTCGTGCTCGGTAAGGTCTGGGAAGTCGATCTGGGGGTGATTCGGGGAAGAAGGCCTTGCGAAACGCCTCTATTTTCTGCTCTGCGGTCTCCGCGAGCCCACTATCTGTTTTCAGTATCAGTATAAGGCCTCCGCGGGCCTCTCTGCTTCTTGCCCACTTAGCTGCCTTTCACATGCCTCGAGGGCCTGATTTGGTAGCCTTGCGGACCCAGGAGCGGTAACTCTGACGCAATACTTTAGCCAATACTTTTCCTTTGTAGTTTCTGACTTTGGTATAATGATCCTATCAGAAGCCTGTAGTAGAGTCGGTAGGCCCGTTCGCAATAACTGATTCTGTATATTTACGCTAGAATTTCCGGGTAATCTTGACCATTTTGCGGCATTCCGCATTAAATGAAGGGCTTGCCCACTTGCTGGGCAGGCCCACGGGGTGGAGGTAGCTATTCCTTAGTTGACTGTCTCGAAAAGGTATTCTATAGCGAGCTCAATATGCTGCTTTGTTTAGAAGGGAAAGGCCTTGCTCTGTAGGTTGAGATCTACGAAACTCTGCAGGTCCTTGATACTGCAGGCTTTCCAGTTCTTTCGTCGCTGTGTCTCGGGGGTTTTAGTACTGATATCAAGAAGGGTTCGTATTGGATAGTGATCTGAATCTGCGTAAATTCGCTCGTTGATCTTGCAGGCAACGAGCTTAGGGGTCAGGTCCTGCGAGCTGAGGACCAGATCGATAGTAGTCTCGCTTCCGTTACACTCTTACGTGGTAGTGCCTTGCTCCAGCCAGAGGTCCAGGCCCCTCGTATCCGTCAGTTCCAGTAACTGGTCGGACGAGGAATCTCTTTTAGAACTTTTCCCCCTTTACGCCGGGTGGTGAAAATTGAAGTTGCCTAGCAGGAGCAAACGTAGATTAGTAGAGCTGTTAGTAGGGCAGATAGAGATAGTTAGAGAGATAATAAGGTCGAGGGTAATGCTATCCGTTTCGTTAGGTCAATTATATATATTGAAGATGCGCACTTGTTGGCCGTCAGCATCAGTAAACTAGAGTTCTTAAATATCTTTCGAATGCGCTGTATATTTCTAGATATTAAGATCAATTTAGTATAATATATAGAAGTACACGAGGGCCCGCTCGTCTCCTATTTCAGTTGAATCCGGGTATAGGAGCTGGTGGGAGCCGTTAGCAGGATAATAGGTGGTATCTTGATAGGGATTCTCCCAAGGTTCTTGTACAAAGATAAGATCAGTCTCTAGGACTGCAGGGTCCCGGAGGAACTGTACTATCACCTTGTCTTTAGATCGATTCGTATTATATTGGAGGATGTGAAGGAGCTTGATTATAATCGGTCAGCCTTAGTGTGTTTTCGTGATAGTGAACGGGTCCTCGTGTTAGGAGCCGTAGTAGGTACAGTAGTTGGTACCGGGATCTTCGGGAGGAAGATAGTAGAGGTTTCACTAGCCGAGGTCAATCATTTTTGGTATGCTACTCTACTGCGGGATCGTTTCGTAAGTAATGTCGCCGGTTAGTAAGTCAACTGGTATAATAGTCAGGTGTAAGACTTTTTGCCGTATTACGGATTGGGTACAGGCATTTCGGCGCGTTCCTTTAGACGAGATAACACTCTACAAGCTATTGCTTCGTCTACGGCAACCCCTAGGCATCGGGGTTACTGGGGCAGGTATCTCCAGTTCGCTCTGCTCACCGGCGTCCTCCTGGTCAGGCTGCGGAGGCGCATCTATTCTGTCTGCAGCAAAATCTATTCTATTATCTGAGGGTTTACTGGCTGTAGAAATTATTTTTTGCGAGCCGGCGTGCGGCAGCGTAAATCCTAATTAAAATCGGACTGCTAAACGATTACAGATGCTCGCAGGTCTACTAACGGACCTTGTACGTCTTTCTGAGAGGCTTATGTGCGGCTGGCTGCGTCTCTCGCTGTTAGACGAGCTGGAGGCCTCCGTACCGCTGTACGGAGAACTGAAAGTCCTGCAGGTAGGGAAGGACCCGGTACTAGGCCTGTCGGTATACTACTGCAGCTTAAATCCGGTCTATCTCTACTGCATACCTCGAATACCTTTTGTGCTAAGCAGCGTGTACTTCTCTATATCCTGCACAGCAACGCTCCTAGCTGTTAGTAGACTTGTGGGAGCAGTTCTGGGTCTCGTAACTGCCTCCACAAAACCCGCATATTGTTTTATTCGAACAGACAATTCCTATGTAACTATATTGTTAGCAGTTAAAGTACCGTTGGATACAAGCAGTCTAATTATATAATACTGTCTTATAAATAATGCTGTCCCAAATGGTATCTCATGCGATTGCCTCATTAGCGTAACAGAGATCTAAGAATTCTATAACCAAAGCGGACAATTTCTGGTTCTTATGATTGAACGGATAAGTGAACCACGCGATACGCGTAATTTAGAGACTCTGTTAAGTCTCTTTGCTTACCCAGCAGTCTCTGTTCTCTTCGAATAACTCGTTAGTTACCCGTTGTTGTTCTGTTTCGGCGGTAAGGTCTCCAATTGACTTGAGTGTGATTCTATATATAATAATATAGTTAGTCCGTATCCTCGGACAGGCAACTTCTTGGTGACGGAATTTTGAGCTAACGGGATATATTTGATGACTGAACCGATGGGAGATGTACCGGCATTTATATTTTGTCCAATTATAACTGTCCTCGCCACCTGCGTGTGATAAGATGTGATAGCTGTAAGACTTATGTCGTAAGGTGGAGACGACATCCTCTCCTCACTCTACTTTTAGTCTAGTGCGGTCGTTGTTAGGTAGCAGATCGAGAAAAAGGGGCCACTGGCCGAGGCCGAGACGGCATCACGTAGTTAGTGTATTAGCGCATTGAGGTTAGCTTCTCCTCTCTCCTCTGTCTTATTTAACACATCGCCTTAAATCTGTCTATTTTGTCACAGCCGAGTGTATTTGAAAACCTATATGCTTTTCACCCTTGTTCATCGAAGCCATGTCACGAGAATCTGAACGAGAACCGTTGATCAACGATAACCCCCAACTGCAGACCTATTATCGCTCCCTTGAGTCCAGGATCGGCTACCGGCTACTTTTGGGTGGCACCCGGCATTTTGGCTTCTACGAAAATGACACCTGGTGGCCATTCCCTCTTAGCAGGGCTCTCCGCACGATGGAAGACAAGTTAGCAGCATCCCTGGATCTTTCGCCGGGCTCCTACGTCCTTGATGCGGGGTGTGGCGTGGGCCACGTTGCTATCCATCTAGCAATGAACCATGGATTCAAAATCCACGGCATTGATGTCGTCGAGCATCACCTGGTCAAAGCAAAACGAAATATTGCTCGATCAGGTCTTACCGAAAGTCAAGTTGCAGTGCGCAAAATGGATTATCACCACTTGGAACCCTTGGGGTCTCAAACACTCGACGGCATCTATACCATGGAAACATTTGTTCATGCCACGGACCCTGAGGTAGTTCTAGCAGGATTTTTTGATGCTTTACGTCCTGGGGGTCATCTGTCATTGTTTGAATACGACCATGAGTTTAGCGATGGATCCACGGAAGTAATGGCACATTCCATGCGCAAGATAAACGAAATCGCCGCAATGCCGACAAATAGTGTATCACAGCCGGGTGTGTTTCAACGGATGCTTGAAGATGCAGGATTCACGAACGTGGTTGTCCGGGACTATTCGGACAACATAAAGCCAATAACGCGATTGTTTTACCTGATTGCCTACATCCCTTTCCTCATTGTCATGTTCCTTGGCTTGGAGCATTATTTTATCAACACTGTTGCAGGAGTTCAATCTTATCGGGGCCGCAAGCACTGGCGTTACCTGGCTATTTCAGCTACGAAACCAGGAGTACCGATGGAGACAGCAAAAGATCGCTGATCGATTGTCTTATGTGATCTCTTGGCAAATCTTATGGCAGATTGTTACTTACTCGATCCAATTATGCGAAAGGCCACGGCCAAGTCTGTCATTTGGTTCATTGAAACAGCATTGAAATCGGTCGTGTGTTATCTAGAACGGCTCAGACGCCCATTGGTTACAAAGCCATCGAGAACAAAGACAAGACCTATTTTCCGCTGTTTCTTAGTTCTCAATCGGCTTGCTAGTCTCTCATACCGGACAGCTCTCGCGTGTTTGCATTGAAGAGCAGGAAATGATTTGATAGTGGTAGGATCTCGATGAGGGATGAATAAATACGAGCCACGATATCTTTTCTAAAAATGAATCATTGATACACACGAGCTATAACAGCAGTGAACTCTGTGCAACCCCCTCAAAATTTCTTGTTATCCTAAAAATGGTATGAACTTGTTTACGCCAACGTACACCCCGGCTGGTTGTGATCGAAGGGAAACGAAATCTTCCACATAAATAAATCCTCGTACAAAGACATAGAGGATACACAATAAGCTGACCGGGATGAGAACCCTAAGAGGAACGCTTATCTCTGGGTCTTTATCCACTGATATATTCCTCCATCTAGAAAGTCCTCCACAGAAAGGGCGTGAAGACCCCGAAATTGAGCCGTCGCAAGTCTGATGCAAAGCAAGAGCTTCACTGCGATTTAGGCGCTGGCTATAGTTCGGTAGTCGACATCTGCTAATGACCATCTCGATGAAGACGTACACGCCTCCATAAATTGAAAACAGAGCATGATAAACGCTGCAAGTCCTCTATAAGATCTTCTCGGTGTATGTCGGGAAATAGAAGTTCCACGCAACTAGGAATAGGGCACTAAACCCTAGGAGAACGCAGATGGCAATGGGCGAGAAGGCGATATCTGGGCAAAGCCAAGTATCTGATGGAAAGCGATCCCAGGGTCGAGATGTGACAGGCCTGGAAAAAAGACGAATATGGAGTATTTGCGCGAGTCTTGTGTAATAGTTCCAGTGAATATTGATGCCAAAGCGATCATGGCCAATAAATTCGAGCGGTGTTCGGTGCCAACGGGCTGGTAGCAGCGGGTGAGTCTAGAAGTGGCCTCAGTTAGTTCGTATCACGAGATAAAGATATGAATGCTTTGCGAGAATACTTGCATTCTGTTCTATGCTTTCCCTTATTTCCTGCACAGTCTTGTCATTCTTGGTTGATATACACCGTGGCCGTGTGATCGAGGGCTTAAAATACCATGTTGCAGACGTTGCGAACATCACGAGCGTAAATGAAATGGTTGTCAGCTCTAAGGTAGTGATGGGCAGATCCTTGCGGAATCTCTGTATTTCACTGACAAAAAACCAAAATGCCTGAAATATAGTTATAAGACTAATAAAATTAGCTTCATGTTTGGTGCTGGGGATAGAGGCGTACCGAGAGAGTGTGTCTGCGGAGTTTCGCTCGGAAATATCCATTGCTTCCATATTAGGTGGATCAACATGGTTATGCATGATCAAATAATGCAACTGCTGGGCGTTGATGGGAAACCCTTGGGGAAAGTCCGGACTTGTTAAATGTATCCCCCCCATATCAACGAAAAAAGCATAGGTGTATGTCCATCTAAAGCTAAGTTCCAATGGTTTATCTTCGTTGAATAACTGCACAACGCCAGTCAGAAAACGCAGTCGGGGGATAAACTGAATGACACAGTTCTCTGACATTTGGCATACCATACCTTCATACTCCTTCTTGCGCTGGAAAACTGGCCAAAAGCAATGCCGAAGAGGAAATCTGGACCAAGGATACTGATACAGAAGAGATTGAACTTATCAATAAAGGAATGATACCATTTATCCGTCGGCGACCCGACATTTGGATAAACAGACACCCAACAACAAAGAACAACTGTGATACAGCAAGACCACAAGATATCAATGCTACCTCTGTCTTTGCCCGATGCGACCCAGCCGTGAATCGGAATATCTGTAGCATTCTTCATGATGTGTCGCAGGTTCCTGTCCGTCAAGTCGGCAGTATACTGTTTCGGTAGGACCGAGCACGGGGGATTTAAAAACCACGGTAGGAGCCAGAACCATTATCTATTGAGACAGCCAGCAGGGCATGGCCGGGTGTACCGTTGGTATTCCGATTAAGCGCCTGCTTTGAGGGTATTTTTAGCCCATGAGAGGTTCGTTAAGGCGCTGAAACATATGAAACAAATGTTGGCTGGAAGTGATTAGAATAAGCCAGCGACATAAAGTGCATTAGCTGGCGGCATGGATGCAAAAGACCGTGTGCACATTGGAGCCTTGAGAAACAACTGATACCTTAGCGGGCCTAAATATGCACGAGAGGGAACCATTATGACCGATTCGGAAAGCCGGCGGCTAGTTTTCAATAATCACATTTCTTGTATTCATCCGGTTGATGGTTAGACTTTGGCTCTGACTACAGCTAGTATGGGACCCATGGAGACATAGACAATTGACCAGGAACACCTAACCGGCTCGGATCATGAACTGCTGGTCATGGAATGGGTACCTCTAGGGGAAGCTTCCGCAGCGCCCTTGCAAGAGATAACAGGGTGACAGATTCAGGTACTGCAGGCTAACACACAAGCTCTGGAGAAAGCTAAGTAAGATTGTCAGGCAGAAGCAGAACCAGGTCCCTTCTGGAAGATGCTTGCTCATCAGAAGACCTATCCGGGGAGGCTATCTGGATCCAGGAGACCCTGACAGCAGTACTGAACCGACATACAAAGCAATTACGGGTAATCCCGAGATCCAAGCGCTGGTGGGGCTCAGAGATTAAAGAAGCCCGCAGGACCTACAGCCAGACAAGACGGGTATAACAGAGACAGGAGATCTCTATAGCAGAGCTAAAAGAAGCTCGGAATCATTACTACCGTGCTATCCGGCAAGCGAAACGGACCTGCTGGGAAGCCTTCCTGCAAGTGACAGCAGCCCAGAGCATACTGCTAGATACTGACAAGCTCTGGACTACACGAAACCAAGAGCTACCACGATAACCCAAACTCTGCGCGGACTACAGGGACAAGTTACCAGCTCAATTAATAAGAAAGAGGCTTTAGTTCGGGAGATAGCCTTTTTTCGGGCACTAGGGGTCAGTCAAGCCCCTGAGGTCTCTCGAGGGTCCTAGTATGACCAAATGCATGAGAAAATAGTTAGACATACTCTATTCTACCAGTCTGTCCAGAAGGCACCAGAAATTGACAGGCTTAACTTTTGGGCCCTCCGGCTCCTATGAGACTGGGATAGTTTTAGGATAGTTATTTTCGTTCAACAATATTTCCGACTGGGATTACACCCGCCGACATAGAAGATAGCGAAAGGTATCTTGCTCAAAAAACCTAACAAACCAGATTACTCAGTGGTAAAGGTTTACTGGGTGATCAGCCTACTCAATTGTCCGAAAAAGGTTATTAAAAAGATAGTAGCAGATACAATTGCTAGTTATTGTAAGACAATAGGAACTCTATACCCAGGACAGATAGGCAGCCGCAAACAACAAAGTATTATAGATACAGTAGTATATCTGATACAGACTATTTATAAAATTTAGAAATTATAGCAGCTTATAAGAGCTCTGTTTCTTGATATAAAAGGAGCATTTGATTATGTCAATCCAGGCAGGCTGATAAAACGGTTGGCTAAATTAGGCTTAGATAGAGACCTAATCCGATAGATACAGTTATTCTTAATTGACCGGTAGGTTCAGCTACAGATTGACAATATACAGTGCCTACTACAGCTAATTAATTCAGGAGTGTTATAAGGCTTACCGGTATTTCCTATTCTTTTTATCATATTCTTCAGCCGCGTATTTGAGGTAATAGAAAGAAGAGTACTAGAGATTTATTGTATCTTATTTACAGATAATATTAGTCTGATAGCCTCAGGATACTCTGTCAGAGAAATCTGCGATAAACTGCAAGATACAACCCGGGTAGCAATTGAGTAGAGACATAATAATATAGATTAATTTGATACGAGAAAGACAGAGACAGTTCTGTTTACTCGCAAGTATAGTTATACATTTAAAGACTAGATTCGGCGAGCTCGCATAGAATTAGAAAACAGTTAGTCCCCTTTAAGTCAGAAGTTACCAGATAGCTTAAAGTATAGCTTGACTCTGGCCTAAATTTTAAGGCGCATTATCAAATTTGCATACGCAAGGCCCAGGCTGCGGAGGCCCGAGTGTTACAACTATATCAGGGTCATAGACTTGCTCCAGGGCTGGTACGTTAGGTGTAGGTTGCGGCAGTACAGTCAATAGCTCTTTACGGAACTGAACTCTGGTAGCAGAGTCAGAGGGATCAGCGGGAAGATATACAGTTAATAATCAGTCAGTAAGCTCGAGCTATTATAGGTATACTGAAAATTACTCCAGTTAGCCCCTTAGTCCGTAAAACGGGATTAATACTAGCTGAGATCTTATAGAAGTTTGGCAACTGGAATATACAAACCGACTGCTTGAGTTACCAGAAGACTATCCTGCTAAAAAAATTTTTCCAGTGAGCTTTCGAGAGGGGGACTAACACGCACAGCCTAAAGAACAGATCCCAGGGAACCAACAGCGGGCAGAAGGCAGTAGTCGGGAACTGTAATCGTTAGAACAATATCTGGCCTGATAACTAGCCAAAACCCTGCTAGCGGATCTATCTAGTGGATTTAAAAGCCTATTACTACTAACTAGTAACTGTTTTTCAGGCGTTATAAAGATCCTGCTTAGCTAGGAAGCTCTGGGAGCCGCACAGGCTACTTTTCCCGGAAAGATTATCTGGTCCGATGATTCAAGATTAGAAAACGGCAGAAACGGAGCAGGGATCGCATAGCAAAACCGAAAGGGATATAGAAGATCCGGAGCTTTCTACCGGAAAAGGGATACAAGATCTTTAATGTAGAACTTCTGGGAGTACTGCGGGCCCTACAGACGGCAAGAAAGGTGAGAGGCCAGAGACCAGTAACTATCCTATTGGACTCGCAGGCTGCCATTTCCAGGTTGCAGCATACTCAAATAGGGCCAGGATAGGTTCTAGCAGTGCAGGCACACACAGCCGCCCAGGAATTGCAAGCCTAGAGTCGCGAACCCACCATTCAATGAGCCCCAAGATATGCAGGAATAGAAGGGAATAAAAGAGCTGACCAGGCAGAAAAACTGACCGCTAGTAAACCTCCAGTAGCTGGTCTAAGGGAGATCTCTTTGGCCTTTGCCCGTAGAGCCCGGACAGAGGCTATTGAAGTACAAAGACAAGAATAGCTTACCAAGGAGCTTAACCGGCGATTTCAACAGGCCCGACGGTCCTACAGGCCATATAGAACCTGGAAGGTTAATCTATCGGCTGCGGTAGCTTTCAAACATCTATTAAGCCGATTTTTTCAGTTAAAGTCGGGGTATACAGCCGTTAGGGTATATTTATACCGGATCAAGGCCCGAAATAATATAAGATATCGAGGATATAGAGTATTGAAAGAATCTGTACATTACCTTCTTTTTTAATGTCGGCAATAGTGAAACCAGCGGGACAAGCTCTACAAGGATCTAGAGAAAGCTGGAGTTATAAAATCTACCGCTGCAGAGGACTGTCCAGAAGGAAGACTCCTCGGGGTACCTAAAGCCACTGGGGCTCTACTACAATTCCTAGCCAGTACCAGTGTAGCTCTACCTCAGGGGCATCTGCAGCGGGAGGCGGAAAGAGCCCAGATAGACAATAAATGGGACTAAAAGTATTTGAGGAAGCAGACAGAACAGGAGAAAGGTAGCTGGAAGAGTAGCTTAAACGGACTCTTAACTTAGGCTGTACCTATCCCGCTCTCAGAAAGTACAAGGAGAGCATTTATCAGAGGTTCGAAAGCTCTGCGTATACAGGCGGCTTGGGGCGAGAAAAAGGATTAGAATAATCATAAAAGGGGGCACGTTTCAGGAATACAGAGACAAGAGGCAGCGAGCTGCTGGCCTCGAGCTTATAGAATATAATCTATTATAACTTTAGGGCTCGATATAGACAATAAACTTGATTAAATAAATAATAATAATAACTATAAAGTACGAATCTTGTAGCATACTGCTCTGACATTAGTACAAAGAATGCGGTCTTTATTATTGATTTTTTTTTGACGAGTAACGTTTTAACAGGCTATAAATTTACTGACCTCTCCAGTTCAGGCAGAAAAAAAGTAATATAGTAGTATCAATGCTGAGAGCTGCACTCTACTCCGATCAGGATAACAGCTCTGGTATTCTTTGAAGTCCCTACACCAGAGCTGTGTTTTGAGGACGAGCAAATCATTCGAAGAAAATCATTTTTGTACTTTTCGGTATTTGGGAGACCCAATTTATTTGCCAAATCTGATATAATATACTACAGGTCTCATTAATATCTTATATAGATTCAGATCAAGCGAACGAACCTCCTTCATTGTTGTAGACATGCTTTAGGGGACATAGAAGTCCCAGTTCTGGGCTAAGCCTGCCTCAAAATGCTGTCGAAAACTTTTAATAGTGTTAGGTACAGGTTTCTTTTCGATTCGCCCATCCGTATTTCTGGCCACGAACTCAAGGAAGGCTTTGTAGGTTTAGATATCAGAGGGAGATCGGGCGGTAGAGTACAGCTCTAGAAATCTAGAAATATTAGTAGAGATTCTCTGTAGGCTAAAAGTGTTTATTTACCGGTCAAATATCTCAAGAGTTTTTTTATAATCTGCCTCTGTCTTTGGAAGAACGACTCGTTTTATCTCTTTTTTATCGTAATTATCGAAGTTGACTACGCACGTAAATCTTTTCGCTAGATTTTGACGTATATTGATCGAGTAGCCCAAAGTATAAAAGTATAAAAGGTAAAAAGGTATAAGCGCTATATTTATAGTATCGTATCTGTCCCTCCTTTCTGCTTTTTTGTACCAATGTCAAAATGTGACTTCTGGTAGTCTGAGTGCAAAATATTCAGGGGACTGAAGGCTTTACCGAAGTCGCCGGAGCGTCGGCGTCAAAGCGGCAAGCCCGCTGGCGCTGGGGTGGGTGACCACCGACATATACATGCTGTTTTATGTTTTTTTTTTTTTTTTTTTTTTTTTCCCAGTTTGACTTGTAATATTGATCACAGTTGATGTCTGACAGACTCAGTATATTTTGCTAATTCCTTGGCTGTGTTGCCCGGCCCCAGGGCGATGCACCCTGAATGACGCAATGCCAAGCAAACTATAGATATGAAGTAGGTATGCCGAATTCAGCCTTGTATATAAACCAACCCCGACCCCCGAGACATCAAAAATACCACTCATCTATCCTCAATTTACTAAATTGAAAACTGTCTTCGTACCACAAACTCGAACCAGCCAAGCTATACCATAAGACCTCCACCAATATCTATCTATCGCAATGGGCTTCGATGACTTCAAAAAGGCCTTTCGCTCCAAACCGGCCAAAGATCCCAAAGACTACACCCCGGAAGAATACGAGGCGCATGTCAAGAAATACGGTCCGCCCTTAGAAATGACCTCCAGCGAAATGAGAAAGTCGACCTTCAAGCAGGCCGGAGTATTAGGGGGGGTGTCCTTCGCGTTCGGGTCCTGATATACATCTGTTGATGTCGCCGTAAAGAATCCGCTGCATATACTTGAGATAATCCTACGCTAAAGTAGGGATGACACTTTTTGATGTGGTGGAATATTTGCCATATGATTCATAACCACGATTTTGTTTGTTCAATTTAATGAGTCGGAATGGAGGCTACCGATGCCTATATCAATACTCTAATCTGTCGGGTTAGGATTTGTTTTAGCATGACCCTAGGACAAATGGCTATCAGGGGAACAAAATTCAATTATACATAATCCCTCAGCTTAATAACTTAAACATGTATATATGTTTTAATGACTGCTACAGCGATCATACCACAGATATAAGCCCACCCTTATAAGCGGTATGTGGCTGCCCATCCTCCTGGTCTCTCGTCCGGCTCATATCGCTTGGTTGAAAAACTGTGTTCAATGCTTGTTAGCTTTGATCGCGTTCTCATATTAGAATCAATATCACACTACTCACGACCATTTCAGGTTTCCCAGAATCATGTTCTTGCACCCTTGTATGAGTATTTCCACACCCCCTTGAGCTGAAGCATTCATGTACTGATATTCTTTTCTTTGCAGAAACAGATGTTCTGCTACGTTAAAGCGCTGTCTAGATTTTGACATATCTTCGATGATCTCGTTCAGTGCATCCTGTGCATTTTTATGGCCCTGGTGATGCATCTTCAATGGAATTGCACTTTCAACTTGTTCTTCGGTCTGGAAAAGGGTTTGCTTAGCCTTATCATTCTGTCGTCTGGGTGGAAAATAAAAAACTTACAATCTCTTTTTTCAAGGAACAAATATCATTAACCCTGTGATATGAGTGTCTTCGTTAGCTTGGGCTGACCTTGAACGGAATTTAATACCTCAAACACACATTATTATTGCGATGGTTGTCTCCTTGAACATGACTTGAAATTCTTCAGTCTCGTAAACCCACGATGGAATTACAACCTCGTAAGCATATCTGTTGGTTTCAATCAGTATAATTAGACCTAGGATCTCATATCATAGAAATGTACTCACTCCATGGCCATAATATAAGGGTAGGCCCCAACAGTCTGCTCCCTGTTGTCAAGGTACTCTTCCCATGTGGGAAAACCTGTTACGCGCACTTTTTGGGCATGGCAAACGGAATCAACATATTCGTACATTGAAACTGCAAAGCGATGTAGTGCTTCTAATTCACTCAAATGTTAGTTACTCTTACAATGCGTGATAATTCAGGCATACCTTTAGACTGGCCTTTTTTCATCGCATCTCCAATCTCCTTGAAACAATTTGAGTTGTGGGTTCCTAGTGTGGCGTGGCTTTGAGAACTTCCGGGCTCATTGGGCTCAAGACAGGTCTTCAAGAAGGAGATTGTATCATTTTGGCATTGCTTTGTGCCTGTTTCGTCTTTGGTTAGATTTCCACAGTCGATTTCTGTAGCCAGTCCAATATCAGCTATAGTCGAGCTTCTGGGATAACAAACTTGAGACTTTACCATCGTCCCACACGAAGAGCTGGAATCCAGATTAGCCAAAGCTCAAACAACGAATTTTCGAGAGGTTATATTACCCAGTACATAAACTGTGCCAGTGTCAGAAATCTTTCAACCTGGCAACCGTTACAGAAATACCCGGCGACCTCCGCGAATGACCCTTTCGCAAATTTCTGGCGTCTATAATTTTCAGGAAACCACCTGATGCAAAGGAAACGTTGTGTCAGTTATGGATAAGCAGGTTTCGGGTGAACAAGCAACAAAGTAGGGACCAACCGCCCAACAAAATCATTGTCAATATCGCGACGAACTTCCGGTTCCATCTCATGCTGATCCACATGCCAGTCTGGGTAAATTAGAGCAGCTAAGTCTGGAATTTCCAGGGTCTGGCCTTTTAGGGCTCTGAGCATTGGTGCGCGATGGTCTTCAAAAGCGGTCATTTTTGAGATCTAAGAGAATGCCTGAGGTAATCAGCGAAGTAATGTTCGATCGGTGACTGTTCTACTCAGCAGTGGGTTTCAAAATCAAATTTGAGTCCACCAGGAGGCTTAGAGGAAATCGACGTTATACGATGAATCCTTTATATGTGCGCAGAAGGTATAACAACAGTTCTGGAAAAGGAAATGACAAGATTCCTCCCCACAGTCATTATTCCCACCAAGCAAAAGGGTTCTTTCCTAGACAGGAGACAGGCATGGCATGGTAATGCTGTTAGAGTCAAAAGAAGAATTGGATAGGAAAAGTTAATCATGGGTGCATAAAGGTAGAATTCCGAAATGTTGAAGATCCAACAGTCTCAAGGAAATTATACCAAGGATAGTTCAGGTTGACGCAGGATAACATAATTGAGAGGTTTTTAAAGTAGTACAGTGTACTTTAAATGGATATAACTGTATCTTCTTTTACATAATTTTCTTCTTTGTTACATTGAGCCTGAAGCAAGGTTCAAACCTACAACTAATGCGAAGATACCGAAAGAGTAAGGTAGAGGATTGAGACAATGCCTACCTACCTTTTGGTAAAAAGGGCGCATAAAACTGATAAGTATGGACCTTTTACAGCTATTTGCATTAAGGCAATCAACAGGCAGCATAATTAATATTAGCCTCTGGTGCAATCTTTCGTAACTTGTTGCTAGCAATGGTACTGAAATGTAGTAGAGGGTGACTGCGTTTTCTTTGAAGGTAAAAGACTTAATTTTATTGAAAGGAAATTTAATACTAAATCCGCCGAGTTTTGAAAAAGTGAAATTAGAGTGAAAGATTTGCAGAATAAGGAAAGAAGCAAAGTCAGTTCTGCGTGTGCCGATATTTGCCCACGGAGTTTAAATCATCAATCAGGGTTTTGCTGTACTGTCGTCCAGCCCATAAATTTCATGTCTTTCTATGTAATTTTCTTGTAGTATCTTTAAGCCGTAAATATGCAATTGATTCGATAACCAACTAGCTTAGTCCTCTTCCTTGAGCAATAGACATTGTTATTGAAAACGCGAGTTCCGACTTCGAAACGGACATTTGAAACCTACTTGGTTCATGAATTACTTGCACCATTGTTTGATGTTGTGTTCTTGTGGCGAATTCTGGGTTCGGTGAACTTAACTAAACATAAATTAATGGCACGTCATGACATGAAGGGACCTGGAAATTTAAAGGGAACCTTGATCAGATTTATTTTTTAATACACCCATTTCCCCTCATTTTTCATACACCTCAAGACAGGATAATCATAGAATTTTTTTATTCCGGTTCTCCACGCAAGATGGACGAGCTAGATGACTTCATACCATTTTCACTTACTCCTTTGGATCACATTGTGCCTTCCATATGTCCGACCATTTTCGTTAGCTTTCGTTTATCTGAATATCGGCCTTGTCTTTTACGCCTTCAAAACGGTGTAGATATACTACTCTCGCGTCTTCCTTTCTTATCGGGAGAGATCGTGACAGATGTCGACTCAGACGGAAGGGCTGGACGTATGAAAGTTCAACTGCCGAGCTCTTCAATCAAAGATATTCCAATGCTCTTCGTCAGACACATCCATGATAAGAGACTACCAAACAGCCAACCTTCTGGATATGGGAATTCTCCAATCCAGCAGGATGTTGCGAGCCTTGACCAGTCGTACTGCCCATTACCGCTGGTCATAAGCCCAACTGGGCCCACGGCTGTTGTGCGCTTCCAGGCCAACTTACTGGCTGATGGGGTTTTGCTAGGGATGAGCTTCAATCACCACATCGCCGATGTGACGGGAGCCGGGATCATTCTCAAACTACTGGCTGAAAGCTGTTGTGATTCTTCTGCGCAAGACGTGCCCCCATCCCAAATGGAAAGATCGAATCAGAGCTCCGAATGCAACTATCTAGAGTTGTCGATTCACTTAATCCACATCGGAACGATGCCTCGGGAGACCGGCAACTAGAAAATAAATCCACAAATGATGTCCCCGCACCAGACGAATCGAAACCGACAAGATTCTCGAGCCCAGATCTCAGCACCCATTCATTTGTCTTCTCAAATGAAAAGCTCATGCATCTCCGAGATCTATGCAGCAGCCCAATGCCGATTCTCCTGCGCCGAAACCAAGATTCCCAAAACAAAACAGTCATCGATAGTAGCCACTCGCATGGCCCGCCCTCTCCCAACAATGTCCTGGCTGCAGTCATCGGATATTGTATAGAGCGAGCTAGTGCCAGAAATGGACATGTATTGTCGAACTCCGCCGGGGTTTCTATACCAGTAAACCTGCGTCGTCATTTCCAGCCTCCTCTACCAGATCATTACATTGGTAACGCGGTCAGAGTTGCCACCATTTTTCACGATATTTTGGACAGCAGCTCGTGTCCTGACTACGACATTGACAAAAGTTCGCTCGCGTGGCTTTTTTCTGCACTCGATAAAGAGAAACTACTCTGTATAGCACAAATCGCCTTCTGAATCAGGGCCGTAGTGAAATCTACCAGTAAAGAACATATTCAGGGTTTAATTTCTGACATAAATAAGCAAAACGACTGGAATAAATCGCCGGACAGAATTCCAGACCTTTGGGTATCTAGTTGGAGACATTTATCGGTTTATGGTCCGGACTTTAGTCCAGAGATGGGAAAGATCGATAGTTTTGAGTCTCCACCCGGTATGGTTGACGGGTGCTTCAAGTGCAAGCAAGTAAGGGGTGTAGGTGTTCTAGATGCAGGAGTATGCTATGGGCGCTCTTTACTACTGTTTTTATCAGCGGTATCTTGCGATCGACCACCTGGAAGTAGTATTAATGAAAATGAAGTCGATATAACTGTAGCCCTAGACTTTCTGGTTTAACTTGAAAATGGCTGCTGAATGGCTACCAGTGATTCAATATTAGCTCGGTAAATTGATAGCTTAGCAATAACAGAGAACGGCGAAGCAACCCCCAAAACATCACAATCCACAAATTCCGATCCTTCCTGTTTGCTCTATCATCTGGTCAGAATGACTGGACAATAGCATGTTTGACTCGAACAATACACCATTTTCCGAGCCTTCCCATTTTTCCATCTCATACTATATCTCACTCTTTCGGTCACCCTCACTTGAATGAGGACTAGCAGAAGATGTTTTGTATGCGTGACCCAAGGGGAGGATTTTCCTGTTTCTTATTTGTTCACGGGTTGCAGTTTTGATAGTACCTGGGTCGTCCCCTGCTTGTGTAAAGGGCTCTCTTTTGTTATCAGCCGCTTCAGGCACAAAATAGCGTTCCACCGAATCCATATATCCAGTAGGTGTATCCGTTCGACGTTCTTTTTCTTCAATCAAGGCGCAGCAGAGGTCATTGAGAAACTGAGGAGGTAGTTCTTCTTGTCGGTTTAAAAAGCGCGTTTTGGTTGCGTTTTGCGTCCAATTGTCGACCAGAAGCAAGCGTAGTGGTGATTTGGGCAACGTGTGAGTATAAACGTATTTGATCGTGTCGCACCCAAAGATAGCATAAGAATTTTTATCTAGACCGACTTTGCAGCACTGAATAACGTTGTTTTGTAGTGTAGGAACTTCGAATTTGCCAGCAAGAACCCAGAGCTGAAACAAGTTGCGCATACGTTTCGGAGTAGCTAACTCGATGGAAATCTCCCCTTGATACATCCAACCCAGAAATTCAGAGAATGTGTCTGGATCATCGTCTGGAAACTGAAGGGGGTCTTCCGAAATAGGTCTCTCACTTCGGTCTTTAAATAAGGAATCGAAGTAGGGGGAGCCGTCGCACAACAACTCCAAATGCACATCAAATGGAATTTCATCAGCGCCCACGCTGATATGCACGATTCCTCCACTGAGAATACTGTGGCATTGTTGGTAAGTGGTTCATGCTGTCAACTTGTTGAGCGGCGACATACGATTTTCCAAAGCGTCTCGCCATTTGTGGCATTTCTTTAGGACGGAACCGATCCTGAATACTACTGCAGAGGTAGTCCAGACGTAAAACTGACGAAGTTTATGTTTGGGAGCGGTTGCGGTTGTTGGCGGGTCTCAAACTAGACCTATTCTGGTTAGTGCACACATGACCCACAGTCCTAGGTAAGGCAGGTACTTTTATACAAGGCCTCGTGGATAGGAAAAAGAGAACTTTTCAGTAGCAAAGACACCATGCTGATATTTTATGCACATACGACTTGATAGGAATCATAGGTTCATGGCTATTGCGTTTCATATCCGGGCTCGGTAGCTCCTGGACAGCTCGCGAGACTATTAACAGGCATATAATCAAACGGTTCAACCTCGCCAGTGCTCGGAAACCCAGTAAGCCCTTCAAATAGACCATTGTCCCATTGGGAATCTTCAAAAAATAAATGAAGAGTGGGATCAACCGCTAGCGGCGCAGAAATTGCATCCGTATTGTCAGCTATAGACTGCAGGCGCGAAGCATCAAGCCGGGAATTTGACCCCGATGGTTTAGTCGCCTGGGAGGGCAGCGATCGATCCCTTATTCGGTCCAGAACGGCAAGACACCGCATTGCAGCTTCGTTATGATAGCTTAAGGAGGCAAAGCAGTCCCGAGATCTCTGGATGGATGAGTGCCATAGCTCCTCGGTAACTTTATACACGCCATGATCGGGACGCTGGGCCGGTCGAAGGTAATGGATGCTGAGAACAACAGTTGCTTGGAAAAGGAAGTAGGTCGCGTACTAGCTGAGACCGGTGTGGAAGCTATACTGGTTGTTTTGACAGAAATTGGCGATCTCTTGGATTGTTTCGACTGCCGCGAAATGACACATGTTTTGTGCTTCTTCTCTGTCCAAAGGTTGATTGCACTTGCGCTGGCATCCCCACCACAGCATCTCGTAGATTCTGCTCTTTCCACATAACGATTGCTCGTGGTCCGCGGAACCAACTGGGATGTCCTGAGCCGTGAAATATTGGGGCAGTGATAATTTCCATGCTTTGAATTGGCAATCGATGGATCGAGAAACCTTGAGGTCCCAAGCACCTTGATTAATCGAAGAAATCAGTTCGTTGAAGACCACATTGCCAATAGACATCAATCGTGCCTGTGCAATAATAGCTGAGTAGACCGTAGGTTGCTCCATAGGGGGAGGTAGATGAAGGTACAAGCCTATAAACGTTATTAATAATCACTAAAGTCGGTAAAGCCTTGTCTTGAGGTACAGAGTCGTCAATGTTTCGTGGCAAGCGGGTCTCGATAAACGAGTCCGAAACGTTCAAGGGTCTCCTGGTCGTCAAACTAAGGCCACTATCAAAGCAATACGTGATCCACCAAACAACACTTCGTTGTTCATTATACAACGTGTCTGCTGATGCTGCTCCGGGGGGTTCACGATGCAGACCCAAGCCAAGAGCCATCCTATAAGCAATGCCAATGAAGTTGTATCCTGTATTTGGGCGATCTCCTTTTTTGGAGGTAGTTTCCCTGTAGATTAATTAGCGATATATCCGTCACTTCCTCAGTCATGGAAGTGGATACCATCAGGAGAAACGCTTGCACGTTCAACATTGTTCCCGACTCCAACATGCGCATTGGCATTCGGAATCTAGCGGCAGTATAATACCTGGATTGCTTCGTGTCTAAGCCTTTTGCTAAGATCTAATCGCCAATGGCGAGAACAAGAAGAAAATTGGATGCCAGCTCGACCAAGAATGTATTTGGTGACGACTTTGGTATTTCTCACGGAAGGTGTTCTCATGCAGAATTGGATATGAAGGATTATACCACATGAAATAAGCACCGATCAAATTATCGAAAGTCGCTGCGTTCCCAAGGTCTATCGATAGAGCTGGGCTCTCCGTTGAATTGGTGTTTGCAGGCGAGGTGTTCTCTGGTTGACCAGTTCCTGACTCTGTGTTCTCTGGAATCAAGTCTGAGATTGTTCGAAGGAGACTGGTTCCAGAGCTAGGCCCTATACTATGTCAGACTAGGTATTGGGGCTTCAGTCATGGGTACTCACCCAGATAACCCGACTCTGTTCTTCCCATTGGAAGTGATGTCATCCCATCCAGTTGACTTTGCTGTTGTCCTGGCTGTGATGTCAATGGGGTTTCTCGCCATTCGAATTTATCCGACAAGACCGCGCTCTCGTCATCTGAGTTTGGCTCGTGGGATGCTTCCATCGATTCCGTTGAGTATCTTTCGAGATTCCTCGTACCCCCTTGATTGATCAACTGAGCTTCAATATCCAGGTCCAGCTTTATTCTAGAAATCATAAAAATCAAGGCTGAGCAGCGAGCTTCTGCCGCATCGAGGTTCCTATGCTTTATGAGTAGAAGACCTCAAAGTGAGCCAACATAGACACCTTACTTCCTTGTCAAGGGTGTCCAAAACGGAGCCACACCGTAGATGCAGGCCTTCTTGGCAGTAGCGCAGTAATTGCATGGTGAGGACCCCGAGCACTTCTCGGACGTTAGTGACCCTGAGCAGTGACAATGTGATCAACCGTGTATCTTTCTTACCTTGCTCTTGCGTTTCTGAAAGACCAAGTACCGTTACTGGCTGCTCATACGTAAATGGAGAATGGCGCATACCCTGCATTCTTTGCACTAGCGATTCTCAGTGAGTAGATAAAAGTGCAATGGCATGACGGAGCATTACCTACCACTCGAAGCTCATGGGGGCCAGGTCTTGTCCGACCCACTTGCTGATATTTCATGTCGAGATATTCGTATACGGCAGAGAGTGCTCCGTTGTGTGTAGTTGAAGTCTTTCTACTGCGGGTTCATCGGCCAAACTCAGTCCGACGCAGACAATGCGCCGATGGCAGTCATGTGCTTGCTTCATCACTTCTTCAAATTTGAGGATTTCCAACATTTCATTTGCAGTCTGTCTGTCACAACATGAAGATCCTGGCTTTGCAAAATGACAGAAACCGTAAGCGTTCCGTTGTTACAACATCCACATCGTCGCTGACCTCGTTACAAAAGAATCTGTGCTGCCTTCTCTATGGGCCTGGAAAAGCTCGCTTTGAGCACCGTGAAGTTACTCCAATTGAAGATCCCCGTGATTATCTGGTTCGCATTTCGTATGTGGGGGTCTGCAGGAGCGACGTGAGTTTAGATCTGGTTGGCATTACAAACAACTGTTAACACCAATACCAGGCCCATTTCTGGACTCATGGTGGTGTAATGCGGATGGTGTCTGATGAGAAGCCCCTTGTAATGGGACACGAAGCATCCGGTATTGTTCACTCCGTTGTACCAGCAGTGGCCAGTGTTATGCCAGGTGATCGTGTGTCAATTGAGCCTAGCTTTTCATACCGACGGTGCAAGCAGTGCAAGGCTAGGAGATATAATCTCTACGCTGGAATGAAGTTCGCAGCGGATCCCCCAGATAACCATGGTACACTAGCACGGCTTTTCAGAACTCCGGGGGATTTTGTATACAAGATCCCAGACTCTGTCTCTCTGGAAGAAGCTGTCCTGGTGGAGCCATTTAGCGTTGCTGTTCACGGTGCTCGACTTGCTGGGCTAGCACCTGGGCATGTTGTGCTTGTCCAGGGCTCAGGAAATATAGGTCTTCTTGCAGCTGCGACAGCAAAAGCCTTCGACGCGAAAGAAGTCTTTGTCTCTGATATCAATCAGAGTAAGCTTGATTTCGCTAAAAGTTTTGTTGGATGTAAGACCTTTATGTCGGATTCAAATTCTTCCCCTCAACTTGAACCAGTTAGGATGAAGAAAGAGCTGGGAATCGACGAGGGAGCAGACGTTGTCCTCGAGTGCACAGGCGTTGAATCCTCTGTTCAGACAGGTATTTATGCTTCTGGACCGGGAGGCGTAGTTGTCCAAATTGGCCTTGAAAAGCCATATTTGACGCTACCTGTTTTACATATGTGCGAGAAAGAACCCGTTTTCAAAACAGCCTGGCGATACGCACCGGGTGATTATGAAGTCACGCTTTCTTTCATCAGCTCTGGAAGAATTTCTGTCAGGTCCTTGATCAGCACTATCGTCCCATTTGAGAAAGCGCCTGATGCTTGGGAGATGACAAAAAATGGGCATGGCATCAAAAATCTTATCCAAAGTGTTCAAGATGATTGAATTCAATTGTTACTTCTCAGTATACGGCCCTGGAACTACTATACCCGCACACCGATCAACAAGAAAATTTGTTACCGGCGAATACTATTCAGGCTTGTTGTCCTAATTTATCGGTAGCACTCGCCAGCGTGACCTGCTACCTTCGGCAGTGTGGCCTATTTTTATTTCTATTAGTTGCCTCGTGTTTTTGAATATAACTTCTTCGGTCTCATCAAGGTATAAGCAAAAATGGGCTTCTATCTCCATATATGAGAATACTAGTCAATAATAGCACTAATACCGCTGCTAACCGCATGTTCAGACATCCATGTATTGTAGGTTGTGTCCTGATAACATATCTTAGCTGTTCGCCAGACGGATGGAGCTGGACTTTGCTTCTATACATCGTCAAAAGCTGCTTCATTAACTATTTCGTAATCACTTATGGTCTGACAGCATGGCTGACGATGAAATTGGTGGAATGCTTGATCAATTCTATGCAGCGAGGCTGCAGACTAGCTAACTATCTACGATCGCTGTGTGGGTCATGTGGTGCACTAAACTCCATTCGGAAGGTCAAACATGCGAGGCACCGCCAACATGGTCTAGGCCTATATACCTGTCGGTTGACTTGGTCATTGCCCTAAGCAGATATCCTATCGATTCAACTGAATGTAGGTATATGCTCGGTGGGTAAAAGTGAAGTGTTATTCTAAACTACTCGCTTCGTTGAAGATATATCAGCTGCCTATGCCAAGGAGTCACATGACTTAGGCATATCAGCTGAATAATGGTTCCAACAATACCCTTTGATGATATCCTAGATTATGGTAATACATAGCCTCCATCAATGAGGACGTCATTACGTCATTACCCGTCATGTAAGTTGAGGCATCGCTAGCGAAGTAGAGATACAGTCCCTTTATTTCCTTGACATGACCTTGCCGCCCCAGGACTGACATGCGGTACGCCTCATGAACAGTCTGGGGACTAGCTCCCATCTTAGTGTCGAAAAAGTCTGGTGAAACGATATTCACCTTCGCGAACTCCCGCCACTCACAAGCCAAAGACTTGCCAAAATGGGTGACAAACGCTTTGCTACCATTGTAGACAGGCTGATCAGTGGGCACGTTGACGATCCACCATCGACTTTGTATGCATTAGACTTTATGTTATGAGAAAGAGCAAGCCCCTTGGACTTTTCGATAGCCACGTCGTTTTTCTGTCGGCTTGCATAGTGAGTCTGTGTACCGCAATATCCACTATCTGGCGTATCACTCACGAGTTGTACCACAGAGCGACCATTGGCGCCGGCCTCTACCAGCCCCTCTACAACAGAAAATCAATTCCATCTGCTCCGCCAGTGATCACGGCCACCTTTCCATCTAGACGAAGCTGTTCCATAACATTTGAAGGCCTTTCCGGGAAGGGTCGCGGGAACCCGTCGCGGACGCGGCCACAGTCGTTAAAGTTCATAGACATAGTTAGAATAGCTGATATTTCATACGAAGAGATGTGAAAAGGAGAAAATAAAAGAGATGAGAAGGGGCTTTTAAACCAGAACTCAGAGCAATCATCATTAGTCCGATGGCAGTCGGCTGACACAGGTCCGCTTCGATCCATTGCCAGCCGAATACTTGTCGGCCCAATGTTGTCAGGATCCAGTTCGAAGCCAACGTGGTGTAATTGGAACCGTTCGTTACCTAGGCACATTACTATATTCGATGGCAATTTCTGGAAGGCGGGAGCTCACATCGCCCGGAGATTCGATAACCCCTATTGCAGAGGCAAGTCAGTGATCCTCACGTATCCAGAGAAAATAAGGATGATGCTCTTCTTCTAATGTGCTCCTAAGATCTTCTAATACCATAGAACACACGTGTACGGAACATGGGGAAGACATTTAGGATATTGGTAAAGCGATCGAGCATTTGCGGCGCCATTATGCTAGCTTTATCCGTCGTCTTGGACGTCTAGGAGCTGCAGATAGCCATGGACATATATGGTATTGCCTTGACTGTGAATCCAAGAGCTTAAACAATCATCGAAGCTTTGACTCCGAAGTGTGTCACGGGTTCATATTGGACTGTCTAGATGTTCGTTGAGAGCAAACTCGACCTGAGTATGAGGTGAGTAGTTGATTCGAACGTGCTCTGGCCGAACTATACGACAGAGAATATGCCATCAACTTCGAGCTCAATTGCCCTTCCTTCCTCCAAGTACAATGAGACTCAGAAGTTAATTGTATAGCTCCGATGCTCTTCATTCCTGGTCCCCTGGCCTGGTCCCCGATCGCCGTACCAGTCGGCCGAATGCCCCGAGAAAACCGCGAAAGTCAAGATGACACAAAACAACACAAGATAAGAAAGGCAATCGATTTTATAATACTGGAGTAGCTTATTAGCACCAAGATTTACTCTATAATATTCATTATTAATGCGACATGAAGAAGTTCCTCCATGGTATGGTGGCAAAGTGAGGTCATTAACTTTAATCGCCGATTGACAGTCGCCGACCCACATGCAGCTAAAAAGTCCATGTTTGAGTCAGCGACAGGAATATAAATCCGGTCGTCTCGGGCGATATGCGATAGTCATTCTTGTACCAATTCACACATCATGATAAGTATTCGGCCTCGCATCAGTAATGCCTGGCGGGGAAAGGCAGGCCAGCTTTGGACGCCGACCTCGACCTCGCCGACCCGAGCTTCAATGCTCGGAGACTACAGTCAACAATTCTCCGGTTTTTCCGGCCAGCGAGCACCTGTCACATATAAGAACGGGGCAATCCCAGTGAATCTATTCAAAAGTCAGAGCAATCAATTCGGTTTGCCCAGAGCACCAAGCTCATATCGACCTACACGCTATACGCGGCCTTTGCCACTCAACCCCTTTCAGAATCATACCGAACATCGAACTTCATACATCACCATGACTAGTCCATCAGGAGAGCCAACGATACACGACATCTTCGAAAGCAAGACAGGCACATGGCAGTATGTGGTTGCCGATCCATCGACCCTAGCTGCAGTCATTATCGACCCAGTATTGGACTACGATGCGGCCACCAATTCTGTGGCCACCACGGCAGCGGATGCACTGCTGGCATTGGTTCGGGATAAGGGCTACACTGTCGAGAAAATTCTCGAAACACATGTTCATGCGGACCATCTCACTGCAGCGTCGTATCTCCAAAACCGCCTGGCTGAGCTGCAAGGCCATTCACCATCCATCGGCATTGGGAAGCGCATCGAGCAAGTGCAGAAACTGTTCAGTCACCGGTACAGCGTTCCGGAGCAGGAGTATAAGGGCATCTTCGACAACCTTTTCGATGATAACGAGGTGTTCAACGTTGGACAGTTGAGGGCCATGGCAATCCATCTTCCGGGCCATACTCCCGACCATCTAGGGTATAAGATTGGGGGTAAGTTCTCAGCATCAACTCGGTTTAGTCCCAGCTAATAAAAAGTCTAGACAATGTCTTCTGTGGTGACTCACTATTCCATGCAGACATTGGCACCGCTCGCTGTGATTTCCCCGGCGGCAGTGCAAATAACCTCTTTCAGTCGGGACACAAGCTTCTTGGTTTGCCTGGCCATGTTAAAATCTGGACTGGCCATGACTATCCTCCTGAGGATCGCAAGTCTCCCATGTCTTGGATGAGCGTTGAGGACCACAAGGCGGAGAATAAACATCTTAAAGCAGGCATCACTGAAGATGAGTTTGTAAATGTGCGGAAAGAGCGCGATGGGAAGTTGGCAGAACCAAAACTACTTCATCAGTCTCTGCAGATCAATATTCGAGCAGGACGGCTACCCAAGCCTACGGATACTGGGCATCGAATGCTTCATCTTCCGTTGAAACTTAAGGGGGTCGAATGGTAATCGAGGTGAGAGTTAGTATTGGGCCACTTACCTTTACATATGCACCTACATGTACTTGATTTTCTAGGATAACTGTAGATTTCCTTTTCAGGACATTACTACACTAATAAGAATCTGAAGCCCTTTTTGGCCTATTAGAGGGCAAAAAGAAGGATGCTAAAAAATTAGCATACTTATAGCATATTAATAGAAATATATAGGCGACCTACTCTCAGCAACGCACCCACGGGATTCAAACTAGTTCTTCCTCCAAAATTCAAAGGGACAATTCAACAAAACTTGAAAGCCTGCAATCGGGAAACAGCAGCCACCTTACGACCGATCGAAGCTTTGGCGATCTTTTCTATCTCTCGATATGGAAGTTGGGTTTATGTTCCTAGGATTTGCCCAATTATAGCCGATGAAAGTTGTCGCTATTCACAGATTCTTGACTTGTTTACGCCCGCCCGGGCTCTTTGATTAAGGCAGCTCAACTATTGACCAATGCGCCAAGCAAATATCCTACGTTTTGATCAATATAAAAAGTCGTCCTGTATTGGCACCCACGCCCCTTCATTCAACAAATGCACAGGAGCTGCCAATTGACCGTTGTTGTGGAATGACATGCGTGAAGCTTCTTTTCTGATAACAAATGTAATTTTTTCCCCGAATTTACAGTCATGACCTGACGGCGCATCAGTATATCTCATCCTTTTAGTCAAACGAGATATCTTTCGATTGTTTTTCCACATTGGGACAGGGCTTGGTTACAGTCTGGTTACACATGGTGATGGGCAAGTAGCATATATGACTCGAGATCCTTGCGGGTTTCAACAAAGAATGGTCATATGTACCCCACAAACAATCCTGGTTGCCCAATAGTTGAACAGAGGGCGGTATTTTCCGTCAAACGATGAACACCCTGGACATTTTTGAAATGAGGGGCTCAAATGAAGTGCACGCTACTGACCTAGGTGGATCATAGTATACTGATCTAGCTGGGGGGCGTAGGTCTTAAAAAGTACACGGCCACCCGGCGGCGCATATTTGTTTACTACTTCAACTATTTTCTTGTTACCTCACTGCGTCATTTTGGTCATCTCTTGTGTAGCATCACATCATGCCTACAACGCTTGAGCTTGCCACTCGAGAACAAGAGCAGACACGGGGTTCGAGCCAGCAATCATTGGGCCTGGCCACAGATGATGCAGTTCGAGTGAAGCAGAAGTGGAATAACCCCCAGATCAACAAATGGCGTCTGCTAGCTACCTTCATCAGTTTCGCATTGGTAGAAGCCAGCGATGGAGTGAGTCTACGGCGTAGGTTATCTTTCTACCACTACTTCCCTCACGCACGGTGAAATATTGAGGCTAACTTGTATTCTAGGCACTGGTCCCATATGTAGGTGCAGAATTACTATGTCCTCGGATATCGGGGATAAATTGCTGACATCCAGGGGATTCGAGACTACAAGCTGTTTACCACAGTCATTTCCTTGATTTTCGTGACCCCTTTTGCAGGCTACGCCATAGCTACGATCATCGTGAATAAGACGCTTATGACGTTTGGCCAGCGAGGCATCGCGATGATCGGTCCCCTGTGTCACATTCTCCCGTTCGTTGTGATGGCCATCCACCCGCCCTACCCGGTTATGCTCGTCGCCTATATCATCGTGGGCCTCGGAAACGGCCTGATCGACGCAGCGTGGAATTCTTGGACTGCGGACATGATCAATGCAAACACATTAATGGGGTTTCTGAACGCATTTTATGGACTTAGGTTAGTAGTGGGCCCGAGGTGTAGTAGTCTCAGAAACCGCAATGCTAATAAATGATCTGTACAGGGCCACGCTAAGCCCAACGATCGCAACAGAGATGATCAAAGCCGACTTACGTTGGAATTTCTTTTACTACACCCTGCTCGGTCCTAGAACTTATAGCAGGCATGGCTACGTTCTGGCACGCCGACGCAACGAGCTTCCGTCGAGAGAACCGTAAGAGTGCCGACGCCAGTGGAGGTAGCCGAACCATGGAGGCTATGAAGAGCCCAATCACCTGGATCATGGCCGTCTGGTTATTCATGTATATGGGTGTCGAGGGTGATTCGCCACTGGAATACCTTCTGCTGACAGACCCTCTTTTTTGACCGTCGATCCCGCTAGTGTCTGTAGGCGGCTGGATTGTTGATTTCATGGTCCAAGTCCGCGGGGGGAGCAGCTACGAGTCTGGATTTGTTCCTACCGGTTTCTGGGCTGGCGTGATCCTAGATGCTTAGGAAGTAGTTTTGCAGCTACCACCAGGGCTCCGGGAAAGAGAGGACCGGTGAAGAACCCAAGAAAAGCCACTGCAACGGCAGAGACAGTGAACTTTGGAACCAGCCAGAAAACAAGCTCGAGGGCAATCGAGAGGACGAAATAATCAGTGATCGCAATCCGCTCTCCTTGAATCTCTCCGTCAGCACTGATTTCCAAGATAAACCTAGATCAGGGAGTAGCATACCAAACCAGTCATTTACGAACCCAAGACCTAGTCGTCCTGTACATTGGAGTCCCTGCCTCTCAGTTGGCGTGGATCGATTCTGACAATAGTTTCAAGGAGCACGAACCCCGACGGCGCCTTATCTTGTTAAGGTGGGTTGGAAATCATTTATGTCTAATTTCAGTAGCCCCTACTAATATTTTACTGGCAGGAACATGGCCTTCAAACTTGTGAATTAAAAAGAACCCGAAACATATTCACTAAGGTACTAATAGTCTAATTCAGATTGGCCACTATGCACTGCAGCTGGACAATTGCTCAGTACGATCAAACGAATCGATTGCCAGGAACAATACGATTCCTTCCAGTGGAAGAGGGTGTTAGAGACGATCCGTAGGACGATGATCCCTCCCCATCTACCGAGGGCCATAATCTCTGGTGAGAGCAGTGCCAATACGGGTCTTTCTTCACTAACACGACGATAGTAATCATGGCGAGCTGACTGACCCTGGAAGATTCGCGATGCTAGCACTAGGCAAGAGTCTCCGAAATCTCTACGTCGATCAACTGAACCTGCTTCCAGCTGTTCTGACGACTTCGGACATGGTCTACTTTCGATCTTCTCCGTTTCCTAGGGCCCTTGAGCCCTTGCAGCACGTTCTTTGGGGCTTCTTTCCTCCATAGTCCCGTGCACTGTCTTTTGGACCCTTCCATATCGTCATGCAAAGTCCCCGAGATGAAACTCTGCTTCCGAACGAAGACTACTGCGAGCGTTTCATCCAGATATGCAAGGCCTATACCCGCCGCACGGCGGATCGATGTAACTTCCCGTCTCTACAAGAATGGAGGAAAGCATTAACCCCATCTCAATAGGGAACAACAGTCCAGAGATGCATTACCTCAATATTCTCCTCCACGACAGTATGCCCGGTCAGCAGCGCGTAGCGGTAAATTCCAGTCCCACCATGCATGCCATCCATCCATGACATGATCAATTCCACGGCCGCCAGCGAATCATCGGAGATTAAGCTCCCTGAGCAATTCTACAACCCAAGGGTACGTGACATAGTCGACATGATCGCCTTCGAGGAAGAGTACAGTGCTTTCCAGGAGAGTCAGAAGATGCGACGTGTAGGCATTGGTGCGCTTCTGGGTGACGTTGTCAAGAAGCTCGTCATGGACGTCGAGCAGCGGCTCCCTCGGACAGAGACCGAGGAGATACCGGGTCCAAGTCCGAAGCTCTTCCTCGCCGGGTCTCATGATTCAACCCTTGCGGCAATCATGGCGTCTCTTGGAGCGGTTGATGAGAAGGCGCGGCGCAAATGGCCTCCTCACGGGTCTGTGGTTTCTATTGAGCTCTTTTCCGACCTGAGCGGCAGTCATGGCAATGAAGCGATCGACAACACTGTCTCTACATTGTCGTCGATTCGACGGACGACGACGCCCAATTTGACATCTCAGCAAAAGCGTCGACTTGAGCATCACTATGTTCGAGTCCGCTATAACGACCAGTCACCGGTGGTACCCGGCTGCAGGGAGACTGGGCGTAACTGGAAGGGAAACGAGAGTTTCCGCACCCTGGTGAGAATCTGGCCTATCTCCTATGATCGGCTCTCGGAAACTAATGGTTTGATCAGGCTGCTTTCAAGGAGATTGTTGATCGATTTACGCCGCCCGACTAGAAACAGGCGTGTGTGGCCAATTTGGACGAACTGGGCTTCCCCGAACGGGTCGAGCCTACTAGATAGTAGCATTGGGTCCGTAGCTTTTGTAGTGAAAACAAAACATCACACGGAGTAGTCCGAATAGTTACCAGGGCAGGTGGAAAGGGGCGCTTACCTCAACACCTTCTAGCAAGTTCTTCTCCACCGCCCACGTGATAGATCTCCGCCCATTGTTGTGACTGTAATGGAACTAAACTAAGAGACCAACGCAGCTGCTCTCCAAAGGTTCCTGATTCACTCTTCTTTTATCGTCATTTCACTTCTTTTATCTCCCCTGGAACTAATATACCCCCTTTGTCCCCTGAATTACTCCTCCCTCTGGGCTCTGCTCGGTTACTCTTTATGTATGCCTGACTTCAAGATCTCCGCTTCTCTGGAGGGTCACGGCGATGATGTAAGATGCCCCAGTCAATGGATCATGGCCACCAAAACAGCCACCACCTGGCCTTTGGACCACTGCTGACCATACCCTGGATTGCTAGGTTCGCGCTGTGGCCTTTCCCAACCCCAATGCCATTTTGTCCGCATCTCGAGATGCAACGGTTCGGCTCTGGAAGCTCGTCTCTACCCCGCCCCCGACTTACGACTACACCATCACCTCACACGGCTCGGCGTTCATCAACACCCTAGCATACTTCCCCCCAACCCCCCAATATCCCGAAGGACTAGTACTTTCCGGTGGTCAGGATACAATTATAGAAGCCAGACAGCCTGGGAAAGCCTCGGACGATAATGCGGATGCTATGCTTCTGGGCCATGCGTCCAACGTCTGCGCCCTAGATGTCTCGTCTGAAGGAGGTTGGGTGGTGAGCGGCAGTTGGGACTCGACAGCTCGACTATGGAGAGTCGGGAAATGGGAAGCCGAAGTCGTCCTCGAGGATCACCAGGCTAGTGTTTGGGCTGTGTTGGCCTATGACAAGGATACAGTTATTACCGGTAGGTGTCCTTCCTGCTGCCTAGAAAATACCGATTGGATGTTGATTCTCAAATAGGCTGCGCGGATAAAATCATACGGATATTCAACACTTCAGGCACTCTACTGAAAAGCATCAAAGATTCCCGCGATGTCGTTCGTGCCCTGTGCAAACTCCCTCCTTCCCATCCTACGGGCGCACAATTCGCTTCGGCGGGTAATGACGGAGTCATCCGGCTTTTTACGTTACAGGGTCAGCAGGTTGCGGAGCTCCATGGTCATGAAAGCTTTATCTATTCCTTGGATGTTTTGCCCTCTGGTGAATTGGTCAGTTCCGGTGAAGACCGAACTGTGCGAGTCTGGAACGGTACACAATGCGTGCAAACTATCACTCACCCGGCAATCTCGGTTTGGGGCGTTGCTGCTTGCCAGGCGACGGGCGACATTGTTACAGGTGCTAGTGATCGTATCACTCGAGTCTTCACCCGGAGTGAAGAGCGAGTCGCCATCGCCGAGGTGGTGCAGCAGTTCGAACAGACGGTCAGGGAGTCAGCGATTCCGGAACAACAAGTCGGCAAGATCAACAAGGAGCAGCTTCCAGGAACCGACTTCCTCAAACAAAAGTCGGGTACTAAGGATGGCCAGGTACAAATGATTCGTGAAGACAGCGGCAGCGTTACAGCCCACACATGGTCTGCAGCGTCGCAGGAATGGATAGCGGTCGGCACAGTGGTCGACTCTGCGGCCAGTAGCGGAAAGAAGACAACATACCTCGGACAAGACTACGACTATGTTTTCGATGTTGACGTAGAGGACGGGAAGCCGCCTCTCAAGTTGCCATTTAATGTTTCGCAAAACCCGTACGATGCCGCCACGAAATTCATCCAGGATAATGAGCTACCCATGACCTACCTCGATCAGGTCGCCCAGTTCATCGTCCAGAATACGCAGGGCGCAACTCTCGGACAAGCGTCTGGGCCCACGCCTACAGGCGCTGATCCCTGGGGCTCGGAGAATCGTTACCGGCCCGGGGATGGTTCAGAGGCTCAACAGGCTCAACAGCCATCCGTTCCCGAGTCACGTCCCAAAATACTTCCACAGCGATCATATCTATCCATCAAATCCGCCAACCTCAAAGTCATTGCGAAGAAGCTGGGCGAGCTCAACGATCAGCTCGTATCGTCAGGATCGAAAGATGTGTCGCTGAGTCCTTCGGAGCTGGAGACGGTCGTTTCGTTGTGTGGCGAACTGGAATCCTCGGAGAAGCTGCAACAGTCTCCTGCTGTTGGAGCTGGACTTCCCTTGCTGTTTAAGGTCGCCACCCAGTGGCCTGCCACGAACAGACTCCCCGGTCTGGATCTCCTCCGTCTACTTGCTGCCGCCACTCCTGCGACTGCTACCATCGATTACAATGGCCAGGATCTGTTCACTGGTCTTCAGGCCAGTGGCGTATTCAATGCCCCATTGAACGCCAACAACGCAATGCTCACCATCCGGATGCTGGCCAATCTATTCGAAACAGATGCCGGTCGCCAATTGGCTGTGAGTAGATTCGATCAGATCATCGCCGCCGCCAAGTCAGCCTTGACGAACGGTGGGGGCGCCAACCGTAACCTCACCATCGCCGTGGCGACGCTTTACATCAACTTCGCAGTCTATCTCACATCCGACGGGAGAGAATCGGCCCCCGAGTCATCCGAAAAGGGCCTGGTTCTCCTTGCGGAACTCACGCAGATGGTCTCGGGAGAGAAGGATTCGGAAGCAGCATACCGGAGTCTTGTTGCTCTCGGGACGTTGGTCAAATCACTCGGCGAGGAAATCAAGAGTGCGGCGAAGGAGATTTACGATGTTGGTCAGATCCTGGGAGCGGTTTCGGGCTCTGG